ATCTGGGGCGGCGGCGCTAGGGTTAGCTTCTTCCATCGAAAAACCTTGAAAACTTTGGATTCTTGGGAGAGGAGTTACAGTCGATTTTCTACATGTTGAAGGGCCGGCTGTTATTCCTCTTTTCCGGCAGAGCAGATTTGCAGTGAAAGGATCTTTTGAGTAGCGTGGATGGTGTTGCGAGCCGCCGGAGAGAAGACGGGGTCAATAGAAGACGGGTCCTAAGAGTAATAGAATTTATCTTAATAAATGATATGTAACCACTGAAATGAATAGTTGTTGTTCCTACATTTGATTTCTGTGTGGAGAAGGTTTTCAAACATGTTCCACAGAGAATGCTTCACAGTGGAATTAACCAGCATATTTCAAATGAGATAATCCATAGACAATTATAATATGCAGCCCCATCCGAAGTAATTAGATATTTTTCATTCTGTTGGTTTATCCAGTAGACTACAAGGTAGGGGAAAAACTTCCCTTCCCCAAACCACTTCTCCACGAGACTTGAATCTACAATCATTTCCAAACTGATTGATACAGCTGCTAAGCAAACTTTTTTCTCATTCAAAGGGTTTACTCCAAAAGCAAAAAAATATTTCATTGTCTAAGACTGACTAATACCAGCAAGTGCACAAATTACAATTTTCAGATAGTGTGTCTCTGATAAATAAAATTGATCAAAATTGTTCACAAACAGAAAGTCGTGATATTAAGACTATCACACACATTAAATCATCTAAGGAATCTGTCCCTATGGCAACCACCTTAATAAAAAATCGGGTCACCAGTTTTAAGCCAGATGACTTACCATTTGCAAGCATGTACGTGACTCCATAAGAAGGTCTAAAATATGCAACTTTACAAAGCTCAAACAAAGAGCAAAATTATTAAGTTCGAAAACCAACCAATTCCACGTTGTTATTAGCAGCTTCCTTTCTCAATACCTCTGTCTCCTCCAGAGGGACATCTGGCACAACAAGACCTGAACAGATGAATGTTTGAGGCGAGCTTATGAAGAATGTAAGTTAACATAGTTGCCAAATAATGGAAAAATTTTATTAGAAAATTTTACATGAGATATGACATCAAAATTTGGAAATTTTACATATGAGAAAGTCATACTCCATGTAAATCTACGGACATAAAATTACATGGGGTATGATTTTAATTTTTTTATGTGAATTTTCGAATGTAAAATTCGTCACAATTTTTTTGTAAGTTTGATTGTGCCCCTAACTCAAAATTTACAAGTTTTTTTTTTTTTTTTGCAAGTTTGATTGTACTTTATGGAGTAATAAAAGTGTCAAAAGGATTTAACTATGTTTAATTAGTGCTTGGTGAGACTATCTATGTTTCATTGTGTTTTCAACGAGTTGTTCTTGTTTCAAAGTTCAAAGTTGCACCCTACATCCTAAACTAATTTTCGATTTCAAGTATGCAAACTTTCATACATTAATCACTCATTAAAGAACAAAAAAATCATCAAAAACGAACTCATCATTCATAATTAACTACTTGAAATTGCAGTAAAAAAAAAAAATACCCTAAGGGCAGCAAAATAGAGAACGATTTACCTCGAATGCTCGGCTGTAACATGGATGCAGAGCCACAGAAAGAAATCGGCGAAGGCGGGCCGCGGTTATAGAGGGTTGCAGCTTGCGAACAGTTTGGGGTCCTACTGCAAAATTCCAGGGAGAGGGCAGAGGAGACGAGATCAGATCAGACACAAAGAGGGAGAATTGGCTATTTAAATTTGGGGATTTGCGTTCATTGGGCCTAGGTACATGGGTTAATTGTCGGTTTTAAATGAAGGGAAAAAATGGGAAAAATTTAGTGAAAATTACCTCAAACTCTTCTTTTCAACATTACATTTCAAAAATAAAGTGATAAAGTTTACATTTCAAAATTCAGGTGGTAATTATATTTTATAATTATAATTATTAAAAATTTAAAACCTT